TCACATCCATACATGAATACTGGAAAAGCCATAGTTTTGACTATATGGACCTTTGTTGGCAAAATAATGTGTCTGATTTTTAATACACTGTCTAGGTTTGTCATTGCTTTTCTTCCAAGGAGCAGGCATCTTTTAATTTCATGGCTGCAATCACCATGCACAGTGATTTGGGAGCCCAAGAAAATAAAGTCTATCACTATTTCCATTGTTTCCCCATCTATTTTCTGTGAAGTGATAGGATGGATGCCATGATCTTAGTTTTTTTAATGTTGAGTTTTAAGCCAGCTTTTTCAATCTCCTCTTTCACCTTCATCAAGAGGCCCTTTTGTTCCTCCTTGCTTTCTGCCATAAGGGTGGTGTCATCTGTATATCTGAGGTTATTGATACTTCTCCTGGCAATCTTGATTCCAGCTTGTGCTTCATCCAGCCTGGCATGTTGAATGATGTACTCTGCATATAAGTTAAATAAGCAGGGTGACAAATTTCTGGGATAGGTTTAGTCTAACCCCTGCAAAGTGAACACAGACACTTTGTTGGATGGTTAACCTTGAGATCAAGAGACAGAGAAGAGTCGAGGTGACTTTCAGATTTCTGAAATGGTGGCTTGGATTATGGTGCTATATTCCCACCAAAATTGAGAATACAGATGCTAATTTCAAATACAGAGCTTTAGCTTGGCACAAGTTAATATACAGAATAAAAGCTTTCCCCTAGCTACCTCAATCCTTCCACCTTTTTTCCAAACCAGAGCTTAGCTTCCCAGGTGACTGAAGAAGTGCTCCCCAAAGAAAGGAAAATGCTAATTTGTTCTGAAAATGCTAATATCAGGAGTATTATTCCATTTACTCACTCTCCAGAGGGAGTTCAAGAATAATACAACATTTCCCTGGTGGTCCAGTGGTTAAGTATCTGTCTGCCATGACAGGGGACAGAGGCTCAATCCCTGGTCCAGGAAGATTCCACATGCCACAGGGCAACTAAGCCCATGCACCACAACCACTGAACTCGAGCCCTGGAGCCCATGCTCTGCAACAAGAGAAGCCACTGCAGTGAGAAGCTGGCACTTGGTAACTACGGAGCAGCCCCTGATTGCGGCAACCAGAAGAAAGTCCCCGAGCAGCAGCGAAGATCCAGTGCAGCCAAAAAAAACAAAGAATATAGTTGTCAAGTGACCGAGTTAATTAGTTTAATAAATATTGACTGATTTCTCTACCATGATTCAGGTATGTTCTAAGCCACTGGTTCTCAAAGTATGGTTGCCATACCAGCTGAATTATTACCTGGGAACTTGTTAGGAATGCAAATTCTTGGGCCTCACATCAGACATACTAAACCAGAAATTCTGGGAATGGAACCCAAAAGTCTGTTTTTAGGGGCCCTTCAGGTCATTTTGACACATGTTCAAGTTTGAGAATGACTATTTTAGAATACTTTACTAGCGTGTGAGATGAGTGCAATTGTGCAGTAGTTTGAGCATTCTTTGGCATTGGAATGAAAACTGACCTTTTTCAGTCCTGTGGCCACTGTTGAGTTTTCCAAATTTGCTGGCATATTGTGTGCAGCACTTTCACAGCATCATCTTTCAGGATTTGAAATAGCTCAACTGGAATTCCATCACCTCCACTAGCTTTGTTCGTAGTGATGCTTCCTCAGGCCCACTTGACTTCACATTACAGAATGTCTGGCTCTAGGTGAGTGATCACACCATCGTGATTATCTGGGTCGTGAAGATCTTTTTTGTATAGTTCTTCTGTGTATTCTTGCCCCTTGTTCTTAGTATCTTCTGCTTCTGTTAGGTCCATACCATTTCTGTCCTTTATTGAGCCCATCTTTGCCTGAAATGTTCCCTTGATATCTCTAATTTTCTTGAAGAGATCTCTTGTCTTTCCCATTCTGTTGTTTTCCTCTATTTCTTTGCATTGACCGCTGAGGAAGGCTTTCTTATCTCTCCTAGATATTCTTTGGAACTCTGCATTCAAATGGGATATCTTTCCTTTTCTCCTTTGCTTCTTGCTTCTCTTCTTTTCATAGCTATTTGTAAGGCCTCCTCAGACAACCATTTTGCCTTTTTGCATTTCTTTCCCATGGGGATGGTCTTGATCCCTGTCTCCTGTACAATGTTACAAACCTCTGTCCATAGTTCATCAGGCACTCTGTCTATCAAATCTATGCAGATGACACCACCCTTACGGAAGAAAGTGAAGAGGAACTAAAAAGCCTCTTGATGAAAGTGAAAGAAGAGAATGAAAAAGTTGGCTTAAAGCTCAACATTCAGAAAACTAAGATCATGCCATCTGGTCCCATTGCTTCATGGGAAATAGATGGGGAAACAATGGAAACAGTGTCAGACTTTATTTTTTTGGGCTCCAAAATCACTGCAGATGGTGATTGCAGCCATGAAATTAAAAGACACTTACTCCTTGGAAGGAAAGTTATGACCAATCTAGATAGCGTATTAAAAAGCAGAGACATTACTTTGCCAACAAAGGTCCATCTAGTCAAGGCTATGGTTTTTCCAGTGGTCATGTATGGATGTGAGAGTTGGACTGTGAAGAAAGCTGAGCGCAGAAGAATTGATCAGTCCTGGGTGTTCATTGGAAGGACTGATGTTGAAGCTGAAACTCCAATACTTTGGCCACCTCATGCGAAGAGTTGACTCATTGGAAAAGACCCTGATGCTGGGAGGGATTGGGGGCAGGAGGAGAAGGGGACAACAGAGGATGAGATGGCTGGACGGCATCACTGACTCGATGGACATGAGTTTGAGTAAAGTCCGGGAGTTTGTGTAATCTCCGGGAGTTTGTGACGGACAGGGAGGCCTGGCGTGCTGCCATTCATGGGGTCGCAAAGAGCCGGACACGACTGAGTGATTGAAATGAACTGATTTTAGAATACAGAGAATGTGGTATTTAAAAAAAAGTGCTTGTCCCCTTGAAGTATCAATATACAAATAGACAAAAATAAAACTCCAAGCAGAGGTAAGTGCTGTCCAGGAAACCAGTACAGAGGATGGTGGAAGAATGTACAGGGTGTGCAAGCAAGGTCTCTCTGAGGAGTATGAGTTCTGGAGTCAGACTGAGCAGGATGTGAATACTGGCTCCAGCAGTTACTAACCTTTTAAAGGTTTAGTTTTCTCATCTGCTAAAATGGAAATATATTATTACCTTACATTACTCTAAAGATTAAGTAAGATAATATTTGCAAAATTCTTGTAACTTTCTGTCTCAAGTAAGCCCCCAATAAATGTTCAGTTCCGTTCAGTCGCTCAGTTGTGTCTGACTCTTTGCGACCCCATTAACTGCAGCATGCCAAGCCTCCCTATCCATCACCAACTGCCAGAGTCCACCCAAACCCATGTCCATTGAGTCGGTGATGCCATCCAACCATCTCCTCCTCTGTCGTCCCCTTTTCCTCCTGCCTTCAGTCTTTCCCAGCATCAGGGTCTTCTCAAACGAGTCTGCTCTTTGCATCAGGTGGCCGAAGTATTGGAGTTTCAGCTTCAACATCAGTCCTTCCAATGAACACTCAGGACTGATCTCCTTTAGGATGGACTGATCATGATGTACTCTGCATATAAGTTAAATAAGCAGGGTGACAATATACAGCCTTGACATACTCCTTTTCCTATTTGGAACCAGTCTTTTGTTCCACGTTCAGTTCTAACTGTTGCTTCCTGACCTGCATACATGTTAGCCCTCCATATATGACAAAAGAGTGTATAGATGTATATTTGTTGTTGTTTAATTGATAAGTTGTATCCAACTCCTTGCAACCCCATGGACTGTAGCCCACCCTGCTCCTCTGTCCATGGGATTTCCCAGGCAATAACACTGGACTGGGTTGCCAGTTCCTTCTCCAGGGTATCTTCCTGACCCAGGGATTGAACCTGCATCTCCTGCTTGGAAGGCGGATTCTTTACCACTGAGCCACTAGGAAAGCTAGATGTATATTTGGGAATCATCAGAGTAAATGTTAATAGTAAAGTGCATGAAAAGGTGGATAGACTGAGATGTCAGAAAAGCGAATGGATGATGGGATCTTATTGGTGGGAGCAGAGGTGGGTTGGAAACCGGTGAGGAGGTGAAGAAATAAGGATGAACATTTATCTGAACCCAGGTACAGCTGGAAATTTGGAGAAGGCCAGTGGATACGGTGAGTAACTATCCTGGTTTGCCTGGGACTGAGGAGGTGGTACTTTCAATACTGAAACTGGCATAGTCCTGGGAAAATAGAAACAAGTTGTTCATCCTATCAATGGATAGGATCGTTGTTGGTGAAGTCAGGGAGGTAACTGTGACCTTTCTTTTTGGTGCACTCATTTCTTCCTTACAGTAGTAACCTTGTAAATATCTTCTAGTAGTGAGACTCAACAAGAATCTGGAGGGCAAGGAAGCTCAAATAATGCAGTGGGAAGTCAGTGTTGCCTGGATAGAGCAGGATAACGAAAGAGACAGAATGGACCTAAAGGGGCAAATAGTAACCAGCACAATGACAAGGAATTAGAACTGTCTGGGATTAGTCTGACTCCAGACATTTTTTTTAAACCTGCCTTGTTCAAAGAGTATGGGAGTGGGATGGGTGGGTGTTTTCTGCATACTTGGATTAACCTTAAATAAAATTACAAACCTTATCCAAGGATATTCTTTGGTATCTGAACAGCCACAAAACTTTTCTGATGTCCAGTGGCGTGAGTGCCAAGTACAAGAAGGAGCAGGTAGGATTCAGCTGCTCCAAGAAAGGAATCCTGGAGGAAATCGCCACCGAGGACGACTTCAGGTGCCTAGTATCTGCTTCCGGCTCACTTCCTGTCTGGAGGGCTCACTCCTCAAATTGCGCTTGATGGGAACTGTCCCGCTACGATAAAGGTCAAAGAACACCCCTAGCACGTTATTTTCTTGCAAGGCCAGAGGGTCTGGCCGCAAGTCAGGCAGGGCACCCCCAGCCTCCCCCAGCCTGAGTTGACTAGAGAAGCCGCAACCCGCCAACCTCACCCAAATTATATTCAACGGGCTGGCCGAAGGCGTTCCGTGATTGGTAGGACAGCATGGGGGCGTGGTCTCACGCAGAAAGCCTCCTCCGGATTGGTGCAAATCATCGAGGGCGAGGCCTCCACTCCGGCTGGGCGCGAAAGCTCGAACGCCGCTGCCTGGCTGGAGACGGCGGGAGCGGCTGCGTCCTGACGGGTAAGGGAACTGGGGACCTGTTTCATCTCGAGCGGCGCGCTGAGGAGGTCGGGGTCATGACGGGTGAAGTAGTTTCCGAGGTGAGTTCGTGCCCTTGCCTCCATCCGTAGCTGCGGGGGCCCGGCGCTGAGGGGTGGTGGGGAGCAGGGGTCGAGTCGCCCGATCCGGTCGGGGAGGCCGGAGGACTACAGTTCCCGGCGCCCACCGCGGCTCCTCGGCTTCTCTACCCGCGCGGAGATAAATCCGCGGGCTTCGCGCGCGGGGGACCCAGCGGTCCTCCCCGGCTCTGGGTCCCTCTCGCCTCTGTCCCTCGGCTGGGTTGTACTCGGTGTTTGCGTCGCGCTCAGCCGGCCGCCGGCCCCAACTCAGCCTGCTCCGCCCGCCCCTTTGGCGCGTTTCCGGCGGCGGGAGCTCTTCCTCCAACAGCGCCCTCCAAAGAGGAAGGACCCAGCCGAACCGGACCGCTAGGGTGCTGTGTGCTGTGCGCTGTGCATGCTTAGTCGCTCAGTCGTGTCCGACTCTGCGACCCCATGGACCGTATCCCGCCAGGCTCCTCTGTCGGGGTAGCATAAGGACAGGGAAAGTGAAGTCGGTCAGTCGTGTCCGACTCTTTGCGACCCCATGGGCTGTAGCCCACCAGACTCCTCCGTCCATGGGATTTTCCAGGCAAGATAATGGAGTGGGTTGCCATTTCCTTCTCCAGGAGATCTTCCCGACCCAGGGATTGAATGAACCCGGGTCTCCCGCATTGTAGGCAGACGCTTTACAGTCTGAGCCACCAGGGAAGTCGGGACAGCATAATTCTCTGTAAATGGACGGCGGGAATCTTAGGGAGTTCCAAACTGGGTGTGGAAGAGGCCTCTGAAGTCATCGCCCTGGGTCCCGAGAAGGGAAGGTACCAGCCTTGGAAGCCTTCCGGGCGGTGACTGGCTAATCGTTCTCGGAACTGGCATAGAAGCGTCTTTCCAAATCTGTGTTCTTTTTTGGAGCTGGAGCTGGAGTGAGACAGTCTGGGGCAAAATTTAATGGGGCGCTAAAATAGTAATCAAGATAATTTTTTAAACGTTTTTTATTGAAGTATAGTTGAATTACCATGTTGTGTTAATTACTACTGTACAGCAGAGTGAGTCAGTTACACTTATATACACGTTCTTTTTCATATCCTTTCGCACTATGGTTTATCACAGGATATTAAACAGAGTTCCCTGTGCTATACAGTAGGACTTTGTTGTTCAAGATAATATTTTATGCAATGTTTTAAAATAAAAATTAATGCAAACACATTCCATAATTTGTTTTTGAACAAGATAAACTGAAATGAAGGCACAATCCAACCCTGTGTCTGCACTACACTGTCTTACTCACCTCACTCAGCCTGGCCCAGGTTCCAAAAAAACTTTACAAAAGCATGCAGCTGACCTCGTGGGCCATAATTTACCCATTGATTTTTTAATTTTAATTTTGCGCAAAAATCCTTTTGATTACTGAGTGTTTTGAGACCTCCTAACCTCACTGTGTTCCTGGCCCTGATTATTGCTGGTTCTGCTCCAAATTGCCTAGAATAGAGTGATTAGGAGCATCACCTTGTAGTGAGCCTTGTGGTTACCTAAACTCAGTTTCCATATCCACAAATAGTATTACTGCTTTGAGTTGTTGGGAGAATCAACAGCATACATCATGATCCTCAATGATTCCTCTGTTTGTGTTATTTTTTATTATTTTAATATTTGCACTAAACATTCAAATCAACTTAATAGTTGTCTCAGAAACCGTTTGAGTGTGGTCTTTTGCCCCATTACATTACAGATGTATTTTCCCCCTTATTAATAAGTTGATTCGGAGTCCTGCGAACACCAGGGTTCTGGGGGAACTGGCATCTAGGGTTAGCTTGATCACTAACTAGTCAAGTCATCCAACTAACTCCCTTCTCCTTAGATTTTTCACTTGTGACTTAAAAAATTGGAGGGGGTAGTTTGGGGCTGAATTTCAGACATAAACAAACATAGAAAAGCTGTTATAATGAACCCATCACCGAACTTCTACAGTTATCAAGTCGTGCCAATCTTGTTTCATTTATACCCCCATGTGCTTCCCCCCCCCTTACTGGATTATTTGACAGCAAATTTCCACACATACTTAATCCACAAATATGTCATTATACATCTCTAAAAGGTAAGTGCATTCCAAAAAAGATAACTATAATTTTATTACCACACCTAAAAAATTTAGAATTATTGCTTGATATTAAATGATCAGAGTTCAGCTTTCTTTGACTCTTACATATACTTTTAGTTTGTTTGAATTAGCATTAAGACAAATCCTGCATATTGCAGGTGTTGCTGTATCTTTGTATGTATGTGTAAATATCTTAACTCTTTTTGTAAGTCCCCCTCCCTCTTTTTAGTCTTGCAATTTATTGTTAAAGAAACGACATATTTTGTCCTGTAGAGCTTCCCGTATCTGGATTGCCTCTGTGTGATGATACTTAACAGGTCAGGTGGATACACTGAGAAATAGTTCACACAGAAAAACACAATAATGCTTGATTCTTATTTACCATAACTCAAAATAAAGTGTTGCCTCTGCAGTATCCTTCAAAGATGAACAATGCATTTTAGTTTGCTTTTTCTAGCCAGTAATTATTATTGTCATCCTTTTGTTAAACCATTGTATTGGTTTTTTCCCCTTATTTCAGCCTGATGATCCCATGATGATTTATGTATCTTTATGTACTTAGAGTGTTCTGTCACTTGCTGGTTAATACAAAGTATATTCTCATTTTCTAGGTTCACCTAGAAATCAATGATTCAAAACTCATTTCACAAGAGGAAACAGACAGTCCTTCAGACAGTGGACAAGGCAGCTGTGAAACAATTGGGCCCTTGAGTGAACAAGGTTTGTAACAATCAGTACTTTTATTACTTTTATTTTTAGGAATAGAGTGTGGGAGCGTGGGTTGTAAGTGGACTGGATTAATTAAATTATTCTCTTGATTTTTAAAATTATTAATGCCTCACCTTGTTGTTTGTTCTGTTTATTATAAAAGCAAAATAATAGTGCATGTACTCTTTTGAACATAATCACTTCTATTATATTATTGAATGTATAAAGTATCTAAAAGCTAGCACATTGCCTGGTTAAATGCATTCATTCTGTAATAAAAGGATTTTTAACACCTGCCAGAAGGATCAGAACAGCTTTACACTTTGTAAATATATATAATTACATTTCTCAGTAAGAGATATTTTTCCAGGGAAAATGTTTTTCAAAATGTATTTTTAGATTTGCTTTTCTACAATTAGTTCTTAGTTACATAATTTCACAAGGTGATATATCACTTGGATAATTGGATATGTTTTTGAGGAGTGGTGGGACTCGGAGGAAGGCCAAATAACAGTAGACCTCTAAAAAAAAAAAACTGTGTTTCCTCCAGATTCAGATGAAGAGATATTTGTGAGCAGGAAATTGAAAAGCAGGAAGGTACTACAAGAGAGTGATTCTGAAAGAGAAGACCCAAATGTGTCTCCAGAGGAAACTGCCTATGACGATGCCAAAGAGGAAGATAAAGAGAACCTGTATGCTGGAAAGAATGGAAAAGTCAGAAGGATTTATAAAACTCTGGCGGACAGTGATGAAAGTGACATTGAGGAGTCTTTATGTCAGGAGAATTCTGAAACCCAAGTGACACCTTGCTTAGAGCTGGGTCTCCAGTCTGAAAACTCTGTGGACTTTACAGTTGACAGAAAGATTTCCAAAAAGCCCATTTGTGGTAGAGAAGGAACTGGAGGAAAAGCAAAAGTAAAATCAAAGCGAAGACTTGAGAAAGAAGAGCGAAAGATGGAAAAAATTAGGCAGCTGAAAAAGAAGGAAACAAAAGATGAGGTACATTTGAAAGAATAATTTGCTGTTTCCAGGGCAGATTAATGTTTTAGAAAAAAAGAGTTGCTTTTAGTTCTTGGAGGTTGTTTCTGCACTCAGAATATAACTTTGAGTTGATTGTTTTGCAATGAGGTATGTAATTTCAAATCTGTTGTTTGTTGGTCTCATTCTCCATTTTGGATACAAGAGGACATTTCTAAATAAATAGGTTTCTGATTTTCTTTGTGAGCATGCGGAGTCACCCTTTGCTATTTCTGATCTGATGAAAATTAGCTTCCATAGAAGGAATTTTCATGCATCAATCAATCGGAAGTCTTGTTTGCTAACTAGAAGAACTGTCCTCAAATTTTATAAACTAGTTGCTTAATGCACTGCTAATTGACTTTTCAAAAACAAAGGTACTGTTTATTAAGTTAGTTTTGGACGATTGCATCAGATCACACCATGGATTTCAAAGGATGACAAAGGAACCAGTGATAGTGTTTTAGGATGCCATATATTTGTCTGCTCGTGAAGTGTGGACTTTTCTGTCCTGATGCAAAGTGCTGTATGAGGTAGTAAAATACTGGATTTCAAATGATTGCATTTTGTTTTTTCCTCATGTGTTATCCAGGGAGATGATGTGAAACAGCCGTTTAATGACAGTGGCTGTCTGCTTGTGGATAAAGACCTTTTTGAAACTGGGTTGGAGGAGGAAAATCACTCCCCGTTAGAAGATGAAGAGTCGTTAGAATCAATAAGGGCGGCTGTGAAAAAGAAAGTGAAGAAGCACAAGGCAAGTGAGAAATGATTGCAGTAAGAGCTAACCCACGGCTTCCAGCCTTTGCGTTGTGTTCTGGCTTACTGATGGAACCTTCATTTTTTTTTTTTAACTGAAGAAAAACACATGTCAATTGATAGAAATTTTTCAGCTGTTAATTTTGGAACCATGCAGTACAAGTGACAGACATGCTAACTTGTTTGGAAACTAGTATTTTCATTGTCCTGATCAACTCAAAGCTATATTCTGAGTGCAGAAACAACTTCCAAGAACTAAAAGCAACTCTTTTTTTCTAAAACGTTAATCTGCCCTGGACACAGCAAATTCTTCTTTCAAATGTACCTCCTTTTTTGTTTCCTTCCTTTTCAGCTGCCTCCTTTTTTTCATCTTTCGCTCTTCTTTCTCACGTTTTTGTTTAATTTTACGTCTGCTTTTCCTCCAGCTCCTTATTTATCACAAACTAGTATTTTCATTACTTTTTGAGGCAAAAAGTAAGGTGCTTTATTTTGTCTGTTTAGTTTGGCCGCGCCGGGTCTCCATCGCTGTGCGTGCGTTTTCTCTAATCGCGCTGCCGGGGGGCTCCAGCTGCGGTGCCCGGGCCCCTCGTTGCGCTGGCTTCTCTTGCGGAGCGCGGGCTCCAGGCCTGAGGGCTTGGTAGTCGCTGCTGCGGGGTCTGGAGCACAAGCTCAGTAGTTGTGGTGCGTGGGTTAGTTGCTCTGTGGCCCCAGACCAGGGACCAAACCCATGTCACCGGCATTGGCAGGCGGATTCTTAACACCAGACCACCAGGGAAGTCCCACAAGATACTTCATGTTGTATAAGAAACAGGTGAAAAGGGGGAAGAGATGTCAATTTTATAATTTAATGGCCTCTGGGAAATGAACCTATAGGGTTTCAGGAAGGCTATGAAAGAGAAGCATCAGTTAAAGCATCCTTGTCCTGAGTGTTTGGAAGCATAATTGTTCTTCCTAAGATTATCTTTTTAGCTCCTTGGGGATCATTGTCCCTCCTAAGGGAAATACAGAGGTGTAAGAAATGAGGGCCCAAGCTTCATTGGAGACGTCTAATTTATTTTCTAGGCATTATAGGATGTTGTGTGTCTAACATCTTATGTTTAGTAAGTATTGATTTATTATTAATGTAGCATGATGTGATGTTGGAGTGCAAAAACAGTTTTTGCATAAGCAACATCCTCTTGTGTTGGTTTAATTTTTGTCTCTATTAATCCATTTGCAACCTTCTCTTTTAGAAAAAAGAACTGTCTTTGGAGAGTGGGGTCTATTCATTTGAGGAAGAAACTGAGTTGTCAAAAGGCACCACGAGGAAGGTGAGGTAGAGCCCTGTATATTAATAGTTGTCATGCTGAGCTCTTTTCCCAGGAGATTGTGGATTTCTCAGGAATTTTATTGTGTCTGTTGTATTTCTCTGATTCCCAGGATATTGTTTTGTACATAGTAGGGACACAGATATGAATTAGGTTGAACCAATTCTAAGAGACTTGCAAATAAATGAGCTCTTGAAGTTTATATTGCATCGAGTTTACTAGAGATGACTATTTCTTCTCTTTTCTTGGGGAGAGCAGACTCAAAGGATTATCTATCTGTCTTTCCTGGCAAAAGCATTAATGTAGTCTCACTTTTTGTTTTCTTTAAGGAAAGAAAGGCAGCCAAATTAAGTAAGGAAGCATTAAAAAAGTTGCATAGTGAGACTCAGCGCCTTATTCGAGGTAAAGAAACCTATATGGTAAACATTGAAGTTTAGAATTGATCTTGATGAATGGCCTTGGTTCTAAAGCCTCTGGAACATTAATATAAACTAAGAAAATTTCTAGAACTAGTGGTGGTAAGAAGGGAATTTTTCATTTTTAAAATTTGTTTAAGACCTTTTTAAAATGTTTTGGCCATGCGGCATATGGGATCTTAGTTCCTCAACCAGGAATCGGACCCGAGTCCCCTGCTTCAGCAGTGCAGAGTTTTAACCACTGGATCACCAGGGAAGTCCCGGGAGGGAGTTTTTTAAAGGGTTGTCTATGGTCTGGCTGCATCAGGATCCCTTTTACAAACCAAATTTATAAATTCTTAGGCCCCACAGAAATTCTGACTCAATAGACTTGAAATGGGGTTCAAGAATTTGTATTTTTAAAAAACTTCTTGGATCAGTTGATTTCACAGCTAGTTTTTAAAAGCCACTGGTCTTCATGGAATTCTTTTTTACTTAGATCCTGTTTTATGTTAAAGGCAGGATTGTTTTCTATTTCTGGTGATGGCTTTGGTTGTACTGTTAATTAACTGAATGTAAAGCAACATTCAGACTATATAGTATATGCATTTGCTTGTTCTGTTCCGTTTTATAGAGTCTGCACTTAATCTTCCATATCACATGCCCGAGAATAAAACCGTTCATGAATTCTTCAAACGTAAACCCCGGCCCACTTGCCAGGGAAACGCCATGGCACTCCTGAAGTAAGAACCTTCTTTCCTTGTGATTATAATTTTCATAAACATTCAGTTTTGAGACAAACACCTGGGAGTAGAGAGTTCAGATTCCTCGCTCCCTTAAAACTAACCAATTCATTATGTGCAAAGGGTTGGGAATGTTTTTCATTTAGGAGAATGTTCAACTCCAGCTTGTTTTCTCTTCTCTAGGTCCACGAAGTATCAGGCAAGCCATCACAAAGAAACCATAGATACTGAAAATACAACTACGGCGAGCGGTGACCACAGCAGAGACGCTGCGCGGACAACAGGTGCAGGATGGGAAATGGAAATTAACGCACTCCCTGTAGTCTCAAAGGAACCTCAGATCACTACTGAACCCCGTGAACCTTGCGGTAAAGATTTGACAGGAAGTGAAGAGCTAGAAATTCCCGAGAAACAGGAGCAAAGTGATGCTAGACCTTCACCTGGGGACATCTCGGTGGCACAGCAAGAATGCAGCATCCTGGGGAACAAGGACAGTGAGGAGTGTCAAACTGAAGGGCTTGTGGCACCTGAACCTCATGCCCTAGAGGAAGAAAAAGGTCTGAGAAAAACAGAAGAAGCTGATGAGATGGCGAAAGAGCCCAGCCAGCAAAATGAATCGACAGCAGTGGTGCCACCTGAAAAAGCGAGGCGGTTCACTGTGGATAGACTTAAGCAACTGGGAGTAGATGTTTTCAGTAAACCTCGGCTGGGTGCTGACAGAGATTCCTTTGTAATACTTGAAGAACCTGAAACCAACAGAGGTAATTCTTTGAATTGTGGGGAGCTTCTCTAGAATGATTTGTTCTGGCAGCTTCTATTATTTGCCACTGTGGAGGACAGGGAACACAGGAGAAACACATAACCACACGTGGTCTTAATACTGATGTACCAGATGTGGATAAAAATCATTAGGTACATTTGGCAAGGTATCAGAACATTCTGAACCTCATTTAAAAGGGAAACCTGTTGATAGTTAATGTACAAAGGAGGGTACATTGCTGTTGTTTTGTGGTATGACATTGATAAAAGCATTATTCAATTCAGTTTTTCACAGAAACATTAGCAAATTGCCTGCAAAACTGAATTTCTTTTCTTTCTTTTTTTTTCACTCATTCAACAAATATTAAACTACCCACTTCATGCAAGATGCTGTAAGGCATACTTGAGAAATCTGACATTTATCCTACACTTGGACACGACTGAGCGACTTAACTAACTAACTAAGCTGCTTAGAGTCTAGCAGGAGAGATAAGAAGTAGGCAAATAGCTGTAATACAGGAAAGTGGCATCTTCTATCAGGAACATGTGTCACTGATAATTGGAAAAAATTAACATGGGAAAAAAGGTATTCTTTGCTGAAAGAAATATTTAGAATAAAGTGTGGGAGTTAGAGGAGGGATGTTTCTTACAATAGGTAGTTAAAGGAAGGCTTGAAGAACAATCAGATGTAATTGTTCATTTTCTTCCTCATTATACTTCAGTGAGGATCTTCTGGCTTGTTCCTCCTCTATCCCCTGTGCTTCCATAGGTGATGGCACGTTAGGCCATGTTTACTGAATGAATTAAGGAGTGAATGAAGGATTCTTCAAGAGAGAGCCTAGGGGACTTTCCTGGAGGTCCAGTGGTTAAGACTCCACACTTCTACCGCAGGGGGCACAGGTTCTTTTCCTAGTCAGGGAACTAAAATCCGGTATGCTGCGTGATGTGACCAAAAAATAAAAAAGGAGAACTCAGGTATTCCCCACTTTGGGTAGATTTCTTGATTTGTAGGTAAAATTGGGTTTCCCTCCTCTACTTCGAGGCAGTGTCATATGATAATTAAGAGCTTAGGCGTGGTAGCAAGATCAGAATTTGAATCTGGATGACATTACTGTTTAAACTTGAGTATGCTATTTGACCTCTCCAAGGCAACTTTAAAAAAAAAAATGAAATAACACTTTTGGTTCACAGTGCAGCACTATAGTGAAGATATGTTAATAACACATACAAATGGAAAGCATAAAGAAACACAAATGGTAGCTGTTCTTTTTATTATTAGTGAAATTATTTACATCGAGATGCTGCTTCATTAAGTAGCATATGGCTGGCAGGTGCTAGGTCAGCCACAGTATCAGTTAAGTCATTGTTGATTGAGTGGGTGGACTCTGTGGAAATGGAGAGGCTTTCTTGGGAAGGACAGAAAGAGTTCTGTGTGGTACATACTGGGAGGATGTGTAAGTCTGTTTGACCAGAGCAGGTGGTGGGGTGGAAGAGCTGTGTAACAGACCTAGCATAGCTCCATTAGCAAAGAAGCGTGGGAATAAGCTGGTGCCCAGAACAGGGAGAGAAAGTTTTGTTGTGTGGGACTAGAAGTTACCTAAATAGCCTCAGACTAACAGGTGAGGAAGAAACTTTTTTTGAGTACTTATACTAGACACTATGAAATCTTGTTATATGGGAATGGAAGTTTTCTTTATCATCTCCGACTGAGAAACAGGAAAGGGAAGAAATCTCCTTTTTGCATACCTAATGTATTAGATACTGATAGTTTTTTTTTTTTTTTAAGTAGTTATCTTTCTTAATTCTCATAACCCCAAGTATGATTTTGTAAATGAAGAAAATGAGGTTTGGAGAAGTTGGGTAATTTTCCCAATATTGCAATTGGCTTATACAGGGAGCTAGCACAGTGCCTGGCTCATAATAGGCACTTATTTTTAACTCAGGGTATGTTTTCCTTCAGAACTAATATTTGACATGAATGTCGGGTTTCTAGATCACTCTGTTTCTTGATGTATGTGAAGTTAGGGCCAGCGTTCATTCGTTTGTGCAGTAAACTTTGACTTAGCGTGGTGTTGCTTGTAAGATATAGTCCCTGCTCTCAAGGAATTTAGAACCTAGCAGGAGTCACAGGCAGGAAATCGGGTATTCAGTGCTGTGCATGCTTTGAGCCTAGAGAAAGAGTTCCTCGCCTGGAGTCAGGGAAGCTTCTAGAAGGAGTTGATACCTGAGCTGAGTCCTGAAGCCTGAGTAGGAGGTACGAGGCAGAGAGGTGAGGGAGGGCTTTCTTGGTGAAGGGGACAGACCTGCAAAAGACGCAGAGACAAGAGGAAGCGGAGGATGCTCTGGTTAGCTGAGGTGAAGATTGTAAGGTGGTTGGTGACCAGAGGCCAGAGGATGCAGGGCTTTTAGGTGGAGACATGAGCTGGAGCGGAGATGTTTCACTTAAAGAGGAGATGAACGCTGGGACAAGACTGGAGGAGGGAGAGCAGCTTGAATAGGGGTTCTGTAATGAGGAGGGTGGTGATTGAGTTACGTAGTAATAGACAAGGGAAGTGGGTGCTCCACTGGGCTAGAGGATGAAGAGTGTTGAGGGGCCTGGCTTTCTCCAGAAGAATGAAAGCTCCTCCTGCCTCACTCTTTTTTTAAGTCCTGAGTAATCTTCCTCCCCTTCCATTTCTTTTATTCTTTTGGCACCAGTGATGACCTTCCTACTTGTGTTGCCTTCCCACTGCCACTGCCTGTTGTTTCCAGCCTACTGAACTAATAAGAAATGGGATGCAGACTTATAGCTTCTCTCCCTACTCTTTGGTTTGCAGTGTAAACATGCCATCCCTTTGGAGTTGGATTTTTGCAACTAAATAAATGATGTTGTTGTTTTGTCACTGAGTCATGTCTGACTCTTTGTGACCCCATGGACTGTAGCCCACCAGTCTCCTCTGTCCATGGGATTTCCCAGGCAAGAGTCCTGGAGTGGGTTGCCATTTCATTTATCCAGGGGATCTTCCCAACCCAGGGATTGAACCCACTTCTCCCGCATCTCCTTCATTACAAGTGGATTCTTTTCCACTGCGCCACTTGGGAAGCCCAATAAATAATGTCAGGGACTCAGATTGAGAAAGGTTTCTTTCCAGTTCTTCTCTTTTTCTACTAAGACCCTTTAGGGAAGGAAAAACCACGCCTGGATGCTAACCACAAAACTACCAAAGTATGAGTTGAGTGAATTTTAGAAAAAAGAACCAAACTTGGAGTATCCTGGACATATTATTATGGAAGAGAAGGCACAGCGTATGAGAATAGCCAGCATCCCCGAACCCAAGGAAACTTTTCTTCTTTTCCTTTCTTTTCTCTTTAGAACTGTCAGCTCTCTTATAACAGATCCCATTATGGTATGGTTGGCTTGTTATATGGTGAGTAGGGAATGGTACCAGGTGATAGCTGGCTGAAGGAGAAAGGAAAGAAAGTTCTGAGCAAGAGCGGTGGGGAAGAAGGGAAAGGCCATATTGCCGTTGGATCACTGCACTCATACTACCTGCATATGTTCCCATTTGTGTATAAGTTGGTGGGTGGTGAAAGTCGCTCAGTCATGTCTGACTCTTTACAGCCACACGGACTGTAGCCCGCCAGGCTCCTCGGTCCATGGAATTCTCCAGGCAAGAATATTGAAGTGGGTAGCCATTCCCTTTCCCAGGGGATCTTACCAACCCAGGGATCGAACCTAGGGCTCCCACGTTGCAGTCAGATTCTTTACGACCTGAGCCACCAGGAAGCCCAGGGACCATCTCTCAATGGGATTTCCTTTCTCATTGTACTGATTATATTCATTTAAAAGTTTCACGAAGAAACTTCCAGCCCTGCTGCCAAGTTACATCACTAATTGCTTTGATTATTATTTTCTTACTGTTTTTTTTTGGCCACACCACATGGCTTTGGGATCTTAGTTCCACCCCAGGGATTGAACCTGGGCCCTCAGCAATGAAAACTCAGAGTCTTAACCACTGCATTACCAGGGAATTTCCTTTCCATTTTTTAAATAGACCTTGCTTATATTTAGAGAGATTGCTAATAAACAGATATTCAAAATATGGAATATTTTTAAAAGAGACTGAAATCTGTGACAAATTAAGCCATTGCATAGTTAAGCAGTATGGTATTTTTCTACCAGCTTAATGCTTTTTTAAAAAGAATTGCACATATTTAGAAACTTCAGTTGTAAATTTCTACCCTAAAATGAGTTTTAAAGTATATTGAGGAAGAACAGTTGCAGTAGTCCATTAATTTGGGTTAAGTTACATGAATTGGACACAGGTATTGGTAGCAAAGGAGTTTTTGGTGTCTCTGTGTATTTTTTTTTCCTTACAAGTTTGTTGAACTTAAGAAAACCTAGCTTGTACTTCTTAACTGGAATCTAAAAGGCAAACTGACATACTGGTTGGTGCTTGGTTTAGAACTGGAAGCCTTGAAGCAGCGTTTCTGGAAGCATGCTAATCCAGCAGCCAAACCCAGGGCTGGTCAGAAGGTGAATGTGAACATCATAGTGAAAGATGTGGGCACTGACGGGAAGGAAGAGCTCAAGGCAGACGTGGTACCCGTGACTTTGGCAGCTGAGAAGCTGGATGGGGCAAGCCACACAAAACCAGGTATTTGAGTTCATGGAGTTGTTTTATTTGTATGTTTTTACTGGCCATGAGTGGGGTGGGGTGCCTGACTCTTGTACTCTGGCTGGTCTTTATGGCTGCTGAAGACCCTATAGGGAGAAGTTACAGAATCTTTTCCCTCGGAGACTCCGGAGATTGGATATGGCCTAGTTATATGGGGTGGGTAAGATGACTTTATTTCTTAAAATAGTTTTTATCTTATTGTTTTAAAAGATACCCATTGTAGAAAACAAATGGAATAAACAAATTTCTGTAGTAAACAAAATTTCTGGCATAAACAAAAATATTTTTCTGTCAGAGACATCTTCTGTAACCATGTTGTATGTCCCTTTAAACTTTTTGCATGCATGTACATGTCTGTTTGAAAAACAATAATGTAATCATACATCATGCATTCTGCTTTGTAATCTGTATTAGGGACAGGTCTGTTGTTCCCACTCCCACTTTGAAAATAGGAGCAATTTATCACATATAAAAAAATTAAACACTTAGGAAAAAGTATAAAATGAAAAATTAGGGAGGGGACATATGTATACCTATGGCTGATTCATGTTGATGTTTGACAGAAAACAAAATTCTGTAAAGCAATTATCCTTCAATTAAAAGATAAATTTTTAAAAAATTAGTTTTCCCAGAGGCAGCTTAACAATTTCTTGTGTGTCCTAGGAAAATGCATATGCATATACGATTGTGTGAGTGTGTGCGAGAGACCCTGAATACTTCCTCTCTGCCAGACCCTGCTCTAGGTGCTTTGCAATAAATAACATCAGTGTCCTTACTTTATATGTGAGGAAACTGATGTACAAAGCATTTAAACAGCTTGCTCAGATTTATATAACTAGTAAGTGAGAGAACCAGTAGTCCAGTCCAGACCGTCTAAGTCAAGAGTTCAGAGACACATATTGCTTTTGAGGTTTTCTTTTTAACATCACATGATATTCCATTGTACAGGTATAACATGATTTGTTTAACGATATTTCTGTTAAGGGACATCATGTTTGTTTCAGTTTTAGCATTTCACACAATATTGCATCCTAGTATCACATATATGTTAGTAAATCTTGATGCAAAATTCCTTACAGTGGAATCACTGAATCCTAGACACATTGTCCATCAAAATAAGTTGCACCAATTTTCACTCTGAATGACAGTGTGTAAGAGTTCCTGTTTCTTCCTGTTAATAATGGATATAACAAATGTTTGCCAAATGTATAAAAAATGGTATCATTATTTTGATTTGTATTGCTAGTAAGAAGTGAGGTTAAGCATTATTTTTAATACCAGTTCATATCTTTTGCTCATATTTACTCTTGAGTTGTTTCTCTTTTTCTTCAATTTGGGTATAGTTATCAATATTTTCCTTCATGGCTTCTGAATCAGAGATTTTGAAGGTCCACTTGCCCCCATTCCTTGTCTTTTCTTTTGCTTTTTAAAATAATAATTTTATAATCTCTGTAATATCCCAAGATATAGAATATAATTATGACAGTTATTGAGTTACATTCAATTCCTAATAGTCCCCCATTTGTTAAGATAACAAAAGCGTAAAATACGAAGGTCTCTGATTTTCCTTTTGTGATGTGCCTTTTGTGAACACTTCTGGAATTGCCTAAAATGGATGCTTGTGTTGTTGTGTGTAGTTGGTCATTGCATCTAAAGCATTTCTTCATACTCTTGTTCAGGGGAAAAGCTGCAGGTGCTGAAAGCTAAACTTCAAGAAGCAATGAAACTCCGAAGGTTGGAGGAGCGTCAAAAACGCCAAGCATTACTCAAGTTAGATAATGAGGATGGATTTGAGGAGGAAGAGGAGGAGGAGGAAGAAATGACAGATGAGTCCGAGGAAGATGGAGAAGAGGAGGGAGAGGAAGCCTTAGAGGAAGAAGAGCAGGAAGAGGAGGAAGAAAGCAATGAGGAGGTTGCTGGCAATTATGTGGTTTTGTTACTAGGTCAGGATGAATAAGGGAAAGAGAAAATCAGATCTGAGTAAGAGGATGATGAGCACGTTTGACTGTAGGAGAGATTTCAGGGTCAGAGATGAAGGTAGCTCATGTGTACTAAATCTTAGTGCATTCAGTTCTTTCAGCCCCATGGAACACTTGCAGTTCACAGTCATGCCCTGGCTTCTGCCTGTTGGTTTACATATTGTACTATAATGCTGATATCGAAATGGCTTTCTATTAAAGACTTTTATCTTTGTTGTTCATTTAGATTTCTCTATTTAGGAAAAAAAAAAAGCACTTTTAGCCTTGGCCGAGTTGAGGCTGGAATAAATTCTCAGGCCAGGACCTTCCCAAGTTAATTGCTGAAGAAGGTATTTGTAGGTGGGCCTCTTGCCCTTGTTCTAAGGTATTATTTTCCACCTAGAGAAGACAGGTGATGATAGGATTTTTGGTATTGGGAAAAAGAAAAGTGTCCTTGTTTGAACAACGGAGTCATTTGAAAGGCTGGTTAATGTTTAACCCTGGGTAAAGGAAGAGGAAAGCCATGGCTGAACTGAGCAGGGTGTCACAGTCTGTGCTTGGAGGCCAGGAGTTGTCCTGCAGTCTCAGGCTAATCATGCAGTCTCTCATTGGCTCAGTTAAATGATAGTCCAGTCCCTCAGGAGTCTTGTAGCAGTTTTGAAAGGGTAAAAGGTAAAGTAACAAAGTATAAAAGAGCTCTAGAAGTGTCTGCAACTAATACATTGTGTTAATGATGATGGTTGGACTGAGCTTCCTTCAGGTTTTCCTTTTCAGATTTAAGATGTGACTTGTAACCAAGCAGCCATATTCAGGCTAGTATGTTTGCTTTTAAAATTTTTGACTTGTACTATTTTGTTTTTGGGTGGCGTGATTGGTAAAGACTGCAGAATTCCTTCTCGGTGGTGAAGAGATAGAAACCAAAGATGAGAAAGAAATAGATAAAGAAAACAATGATGATGGCAGTGGTGAAATTGGCAAGTCAGTTGGCCTCTCTGTCCCCAAGCCTCTCTCATCTGATTCTACCTTCCTTCTGTTCAAGGACAGCTCTTCCAAGACGGGGTAAGTAATTCTCTCTAAGGAAAGATAAGATTCCCTGGTGAATACCAGGGAATTTGCCCCTCTTGGAAGAAGTAGAAACAGATATTCAATTTACCTACTTATTTTGTAGTTACTCTCCTAGTGAAGAAAAATCAGAAATAGATGAAAACTCAGGCAAAAGACCTAGCAAATTAGGTAAGTAGTGACCCTTATGTAGAACTTGAAACTTGATTTTTCTCTGATCCTCCTGCTTTAACATTTAAGGACTACAATTCCGTAAGGTTCTATTTTTCTGAACCTTAGTGAACTTTTCCCAGTCTTACCTGTGAGAGTGATAGGAATTTATGAACTATAATGTTTTTCTTGGGAATTCCCTCGTGGTCCAGTGGTTAGGACTCCATGCTTTCACTGTTGAGGGCCCAGGTTCATTTCCTGGTCAGGGAACTAAGATCTCACAAGTTGCGTGGTACAGCTAAGAAACAAGCAAAAAATCCCAAATATTTCTCTTGGTCCAGTTTTTGAAATCTTACGTGCAGTTTCTTTACAGTTGACCCTGAGCATCTAATAGGTCGTTAATGAATATGTGTTGATTGAGTAAAACATGAAACATTTCTATCATGTAGATCAAAGGAAGATGTATAAGTGATTAGATAATGGAAAGGGTAATCATAGGCATTAGGGAAGGTGAGAGAAAGACAGGAACTTTGAGGTGTCACTTAGTTCAGAGTGATAAACCCTGATTGTATGATGCTATCTTATACCATTATTGACCTTTAATGTAATATTTTGGAACATGTAACTTGAGAGGTTTACCAGTGGATCTTACCAGACAGTTTCATTCTCAACTCTTTTCCTAAACAAATCTGACTTATTTCTGGGAATCATGCACTTAAAAGTTGTCTTTCTTTAGATGAAGATGATTCATGCTCATTACTGACAAAGGAGAGCAGCCACAATAGCAGCTTTGAGCTGATAGGCTCCACACTTCCATCCTATCAGCCTTGTAACAGACAAACAGGCCGTGGGACCAGTCTTTTGCCTACAGCAGGAGGATTCAGATCTCCTTCCCCAGGGCTATTTCGAGCCAGTTTGGTCAGTTCAGCCTCTAAGGTGAGATGGTAATGGTTTTCTAATCTCCTCCCCTTTTTGCTTCCCACATTGCTAAATAAAGTGTGTCCATGCCAAAAACTCCCACCACATTATGTATGTTCAGTTTAAAAAGTCCACCCCCTTTGTGTATTAAAAACAAGCCTCATTCAGGGTTCTTTCTTTCTTGAGGGTGTTTTTTTTAATGCTTCTCTTGGCTATGCATTGTCCTCCCCAACTGCAATTGCCTGAGAATAGATTAAATTTTACAAATAGCAGCTTCTGTTGTTGTCATGACAGTGAATGACATTTGTAAAATGTTTTGTTTTTGTTTGGTTTTGTTTTGGTGCCAGAGTTCAGGAAAGCTGTCTGAGCCTTCACTTCCCATAGAGGATTCCCAAGATCTGTATAACGCCTCCCCAGAACCTAAGACACTTTTCCTAGGAGCAGGAGACTTCCAGTTCTGCTTAGAAGATGATACTCAGAGCCAACTGTTGGATGCAGATGGGTAGGTAGTTTTATGTTTCTGTGGGTGGGATGGTGCTGGGTACTGCTTAATTTTGTTTAAAAATAAAGCGAGCTTCTGTCACTCCATCTGTGCTTTCTCTTCTGAGAAAGAGAGGTGTGCAGACCATTAGTATTACATTCTACAAGTTTGAACAAAGTCTATCTAGAAAATAAAAAGTAAATAGCCTTGCTAGTGTTCTGATCCTTCAATTTCTACCTTATTAGACCTGCATAACTCTTAGAAGGTCATCAAATTGCCCTGTATCCATATCCCTGGGGGCTCAAATGGTAAAGAATCTGCCTGCAGTGTGGGAGACCTGGGTTTGATCCCTAGGTTGGGAAGATCCTCCAGAGAAGGAAACGGCAACCTGCTCCAGTATTCTTGCCTTGGAGAATTCCATGGACAGAGGAGCCTGGTGGGCCCCAGTCCGTGGCATTGCAAGGAGTTGGACACGACCGAGTGACTAACACTTTCACCTCATCCCACTATGTTAGGACTTTGGGTGGCATTGAGAATTGACACCTCTGTGGCACATTACATGGCCATAACACCAGGCCCTACTCTAGTGCCATCTGAAGCCCCAAATTAGCCTTTACCCTTTATCTTCTAAATAGCCCTTATTCTTTCATAAACATCCCCCTCCCTCTTAAGGTTATCACGGGCTAAAGTCTGACACTCGTGTCTTCTGGTTCAGAATTCAGCTTCTAACTTTGCTATTGGAAATGAGTTGAGGCTTTTCCCCCACTACTTTTTTTTCCCTGGAGCATTTCTTACACTCTTCATTGGGCTTGTAGGTTCTTAAATGTTAGAAACCACAGGAATCAGTACCAAGATTTGAAGCCTCGGTTGCCATTGGCCAGTATGGATGAGAATGCCATGGATGCCAACATGGATGAACTGTTGGATTTGTGTACTGGAAAGTTTGCATCTCAGGCTGAAAAGCCTCTGCCTGGGAAGAGTGACAAGAAAGAGAACATGGAGGAACTTCTGGATCTTTGTTCAGGAAAATTTACTTCTCAGGGTAAGTATCCAACAGAGCAACAAGTCTTACCCAGTCAAATATCTTAAGTCAGTGTCCATGTGAAGAAGTCCTTTAGTCTCAGTTGAAAAGTTCACAGAAAACAGCCATGGTGGATTCTTGAGCCTAGGCTGAATTCACTGCTTAGCTCCTGACATTTAGAGCTCTTACTTTTTTAGGATGGTGAAGTATCACCTTAAGATTGCTTTAACTTTCGCCATATGACTTGTCATTTATGGCCAGAATATGTGCAAAGCTTAGAGCGGTGTCTGCTGCATAGTAAATTTCATATAAATGCTGTTATTACTTCCACCTGCATACCCCTTTCTCCTCCTCACACCCCTACTAGAATGTAAGCTCTTTGGGAGCTGGGATCTTTGTTTTATTCACTGCTGTCTCCCTGGTGCCTGGCACATAGTAAGCACTAAATAAGGATTTGTTGAATGAATGGATGGTGAGCTCTTTTTGGCAAGCTTACCTTAGAACTATGTTGAGCTGGCATGTCTTCAGATGGCTGGGGAAAGAGGATAAAGCTGTCAGTTCTTGGTGACAAATCTTTTTCTTTGCTGTGATGTAGATGTCTCTACTCTGGATCCATCAGAGTTAAATAAGCAGGAGAAGGAGAGTAGCCTGGGTGATCCAATGGAAGAAGCTCTCGCTCTTTGCTCAGGCTCTTTCCCAACAGACCGGTGAGTCTCAGTGATCTGAGGGAATTTGGCAAGTTCCATCTTCTGATAAAGTACAAGGGTAGCTTCTCTGGACTTCGCAATAAATGGTCATCTTAGGGGCTTTATATCCTGTCTGAGAGTCTTGCAGTGGGTTTGAGCCTCATATTTGCCTAGTGAAGAAATTATTCATAATAATGCTTTCATTTAGTTGATAGGGAACAGGGTAAAAAAGGTAAGAAAAAGCACATGGACTTTCTCGACATCACCAATAATTAAGGAAATACAAATCAAAACCCCATTTTTTGAATAATTCCTCACTGCCAGCCATTATTCCACTTTTGGGTATATACACAAAAGAACTGAGAACATAGTTTCTTAGTAGATATTTGTACACCCATGTTCATAGCAGCAGTATTCATAATAGTCAAAAGGTGGAAGCATCCCAAGTGAATGCATACATAGTGGAGTATTACCCTTTAAAAGGGAAGCAGATTCTGATACATGCTAAGACATGGATGAACTGTGAGAAGATTATGCTAAGTGAAATGAGCCATTCACAAATATGCAAATACTGTATGATTCCATTTATATGAGGTACTTAGTGTAGTCAGATTCATAGAGACAGGAAGTAGGAAGGTGGGTGCCAGGGGCTGTGGGGCAGTAAGAATAGGTTGGTATTGAAAGGGTATAGAGTTTTAGCTTTTTAAGAGGAAAAGCATTCTAGAGCTTGGTTGGATAACACTTATTTGTGTTAGTGTTAAGTGAATGTACTTAACACTAATGAACTGTACACTTAAAATGGTTAAGATCGTAAAGTTCATGTTGTATGTATTTTATCACAATTAAAAAAAATTTTTTTTTGAAAGGCAAGATATCTTGTTTCCTGTTTCTTGAAGAGATTGTTGGGGCTGTAAGATATTTTCAGTCCCTAAGTTGGCTGACTCCTTATAGTTGGCTTTCAACAATGTGTTTATGGATTTGTTGATTTGCATCTTAGGGAAGAAGAAGGTGAAGAGGAGGAATTTGGAGACTTTCGGCTTGTCCCAAATGATAATGAGTTTGATAGTGATGAGGTGAGTTTGAAGGGAACAAAGTGATCATAACTGAACTCCATGTATAGCTGCTGGGGATTTTTGTTTGTTTTGTAGTTTGAATTCTTGAGAAGTCTGTTTGGCATGTTATCAGAAGCAATTTCCTAGAATGAAATATTTGGGCAGAAGTTTCTGAATCCTGTCTTAGCTGAGGACACATTTTATTCTGTGTAACTTTGCATGTGATACTGTATAATTCTGCAGGATGAACACAGTGATTCTGACAAGGAGGACCTGACACTGGAAGACCATGAAGATGATGATGAGGAAGACCTCCTGCAGCAATCGGAGAAGTCAAAAAGGCAAATGTAGGTGTTATATCCCTTCCTTCCGTTGCAAGAAAGTTCTCCTGACAGTTGAGCTGTAGCTTGCCACCACCATTTTACCTACATTTACTGGTTCTATTTTTGCTTTTTGTGGTTAACACAGATTGAATAACATCCATTTACATGATATCTTTTGAGTATTCAAAGATAGTCACATCCTCTTCAATTGATTTCTGTACTAAACATCCCTGGTTCTTCAGCTGTTTCTCACGTGACATTGCTTCCAGACTCTTCACATGTGTGGATTCTCTCTTTATCTTCAGGTGTGGTCTGACTACCGCCCTGTGTGGTGGTGCAGCCACATCCCTTGCCCTGGTTGCCTACTACTTGTAAAGTAACCAACGAGCACAGGAACTGACTCACTGGAAAGCCTGAGGATCTAGTAGATGATTAAAATTCCACATGTCTTTTTTCCTTTGAATTACCATCATTCCAGGTCTTCCTCATCCTAGTTTCAGGCAAATGACCCCCCATCAATTTTTTAAATATTTTGTTGTTTTGATTATGAAAGTAAGCCATTTATTTTAGAATATTTAAAAGAATACAGAAAGATATAGATAAGCCCTTCATGTCCACCATTCAGAATATTTGTGAAAGTGGTGGTAGGGGTTATTATTGCCCCATAACCTTTGTCAGGCATATATTTTCATATGGTTGAGATCTGTAAAATTTTTTTATATATACAGTTTTGCATCTTTTTTCCCCACTTACTGTATCTGTAAATATTTTTCCATGATATTGAAAATTGTATAAAAACCATTTTAGTAGGTATTTCACATTTTATTGCACATACAATGATGACTTTTTGATTTCAAATATAGGACATCATATTGATCCTTATTAGATTTATTTTGTTGTGTTTAGCCCATCATTCCATTCTGTTGAGATCAGTTTTGGATTCTAATTTGTCACCTGTCAAATTAATCATCTCATAACAGCTTTGGGTCATCTATAGATTTTTTTCTAAGGCGGTGGTTCTTAAACCTTATCTAACTGTAGTGTCCTTAGTTCAAGTGAAGTCTTATAAAGAACGGCAGCTAAAAGTCGAGCTGCCCAAAGAGGGCTGAATGGGAAAGTGAGGGGCTTGGTGGCTGTTGGCCCTGAAGGAATTCCCCAGGAACCCCAGGATTTAGAGGGACTCAGCTTTTTAAAATAACAATGCAGGTCTTTGATAAAAATCACCTTTCAGAAAGCAATCGAGCTTCTGCCATTCTTGACCATAGATAACAGCAATTTGAACTCAGGGTGACAGCAGATTTGTTTTCAGTATGGCCTGAAGTCAGAAAAACTAAACTTGTGGTGGTTTTGATTACCACTAACTGAGCCCGAATATTCACTGGAAGGACTGATGCTAAAGCTGAAGCTCTAATACTTTGGCCACCTGATGTGAGCAGCTGACTCATTGGAAAAGACCATGATGCTGGAAAAGATTGAGGGCAAGAAGAGGAGGGGGCGGCTGAGGATGAGATGGTTGGATGGCATCACTGACTCAATGGACATGAGTCTGAGCAATCCCCCTGAGACAGTAAAGAACAGGGAAGCCTGGTGCACTGCAGTCCATGGGGTCACAAAGAATCAGACAGAACTGAGTGACTAAACAGCAGCAAATGAGCCTCATTCATACCTGTACCTTGTGGGTCAAGATTTGGCAGGCTGTAGGAAGACCCCAGTCTATTACCTTTCCATACCATACTATCTCTAGTCTACCTCCTGAAGCTGGTAAGCTTTAAATACAAAACAAAATAGTATGAACCTTCTGGCAGGTATGTTTCAGATATATAGAGGAGATTGAGAGTTTTGGCTTCAGAGTCACCAACCTAGGTTGAATCCAGACTCTGCTGCCTCCCAGCTGTGTGGCCATCAGTAAGTTGTTTACTCTCTGAGTTTCAGTTCCTTCAACTGTAAATCAAAGGGAACAATAATAATACCACTTCCTGAGATAATGGATTGGCACAGGCTTTTAAGTATTAAAAAAATTTATTATTATTATTAATTTTTATGCTTGTTATTAGAGATGGCTGTGTGTTCTGCTTTTTTCATTACTGTGTGTATATTTATTGTTGTATTTTCCAATTTTCAATATTGTTTTCCAGGAGATTGAAGAAATACCTGGAGGATGAGGCAGAGGTGTCAGGGAGTGACGTGGGAAGTGAAGATGAGTATGATGGGGAAGAGCTTGATGAATATGAAGAGGATGTAATTGATGAAGTACTTCCTTCTGATGAGGAACTACAGCGTCAAGTCAAGAAAATACACATGTCAGTATCCCAACAAGCCCTTCTGAGCATCTTAAGGCAGGCCCTATAACCAGCCAGAGTGGTCCTGGTTTTGAACAACCTATTTCTCCCGTCGTAGGAAAACAATGTTAGATGATGATAAACGCCAGCTACGTTTGTACCAAGAAAGGTACCTTGCTGATGGGGACCTGCACAGCGATGGTCCTGGACGAATGAGGAGATTCCGATGGAAAAACATAGGTATCTTGATCATTGCCTTTAGAAGCAAATGGTACAAGGTCCATGTTTGTCCAGTTTAAGCCGGCAAGAGGAGTTCAAAACTATAGCAGACAGTTGTGGAGGACCTGGCCTTGACCTTTATTTTCCATTAGTGGATGAGAAAAGCTTGTGTCAGTATATTATAAATGAACAGGGTTCACAAGTGTCTGTCAAGACACCCTCTCTTGTGGGGATTGCAGAATGCTAATAGCCTTAACTCTTTGCTTTAGATGATGCTTCCCAGATGGACTTGTTCCACAGAGACTCTGATGATGATCAGATTGAAGAACAGCTTGACGAGACAGAAGCCAGATGGAGAAAGGAGCGAATTGAACGAGAGCAGTGGCTTCGGGACCATGTAGGAAGCCTGCAAGAGATTCGCCTATTCCATCCCTAGTTCTGAGGGTCACCTCAGTCGCCCAGCTTGTCATGATAGTTGTCAAAACCTTGGGCAGTGTATTGCTGTCCCTTTTAATCCTTGAATTTTCTTTTGTGCTTTGAAAAGGTTACCACGGGCAGTTCTATTCATGTTTTTGTCCAAAATACTTTTTTTTTTTTGATCTGAAGCAACAGAGGGTAGCAAAAAGGAAAACTAATGCTATCCCAAGTACTCTAGCTTCCAGGCTATGCTAATGCTTTGGGTCTTTGGGGGAACCGTGGGCTTCTGTGAATGCTGTCTGACTTTTACTCTCAGGCACAGCAGGGGAAAATTGCAGCTGAAGATGAAGACATTGGGGAAGACAGTCAGTTTATGATGCTGGCCAAGAAGGTTACGGCCAAGGCTCTGCAGAGGAATGGTGAGCTCTTAGCCCCTCGCAGGGGCTGTTCCCCCGGAGTGTTCCCGCTGGGGCCCCGGAGGTGACTCCAGCCCTCAGCGACTGCTGCAGCCTAGCCACGGACCTGTGTCTAATATCATCTTAAAGGGGCCCCTCGGACGGGGAGAGACAGTGTTCCTTCAGTCCAGTTCTGTTGGACAGTAGATATTGCAGTGCAGAGTGTGTATAGCGGGTTTTGCCTTATGTTCTAAGGCAGCTTGTGCATGTGTGCATGCTAAGTTCTTCAGTCACGTCTGACTCTTTGTGACCCCGTGGACTGTAGTCCACGCTCCTCTGTCCGTGGGACTCTCCAGGCAAGAATACTGGAGTGGGTTCCCACGCCCTCCTCCAGAGGATCTTCCCAACGGAGGGATCAAACCCACGTCTCTTACATCTCCTGCATTGGCAGGCGGGTTCTTTACCATTAGCGCCCCCTGGGAAGCCCTGTAAGGCAGCTCAGAGGAGTGAATTCTGCCTTCTTTGTTTAGTCGCCCAGGATTATATACCTAAGTGTTAGAACAGGAATTTGTCTTACCATTGTTGTTTTTTCTTATTACTGTTAATTAGACAATAAGTTTAGCTGAGTTGTCTGTCTTAACCACTTACTGTACTTTCAAATCATGATTATAAAATAATCAGTTTATTAGTTTAGTTAAGGGCCTGTTAGTTTGTTTAGATTTAAAAGTAATTCTACCCAGTTTTGCCCAGAGCAAGCCTCTTTGTCTTGTCTTTTCAGTCAGTCACACTGTGGTTATTCAAGAATCAAAGTCTTTATTCAGAAATCCTTTTGAAGCCATCAAACCGGGAAGTGAGAACCAGGTTGGTTGGGGACCTTGTTCACCTGAAGTCATGATGTGCAATGTTACAAAGGCCTCAGTCGGGTTAGGGGAATGCTCTGTCATTAGGGGAGGGAGGTGGTTGCAGGAAGTGGAAGTAGGTGTCAAAGGAGCCTGCTGTTTCTTTTCTGTTTGAGCAGGGTGGGAATGTGTCCCCTCCATAGCTGGCAGGCACGGGGAGGAGCTGGCTTCCCCTTCCTTGGCGCTTGGAATTCTATACCAGATGACTCTTCTTTCCTCAGCTGAAGACAGGCTCCCTGCTCAACCAGCCCACGGCTGTGCTTCAGAAACTGGCTGCCCTCTCTGACCTCAACCCCAGTGCTCCCCGGAATTCAAGAAACTTTATCTTCCATACACTTTCTCCTGTCAAGGCTGAGGCAGCAAAGGAATCGTCTAAACCTCGGGTAGGGAATTGGAGAACTGATTTGGTGACTCTCCACAGCAGAGTGAATGAACGAGTGAATTGAATTGAATTGAAAATATGTATGTATTTCTGGCATCTTTACAGCATAAAGATTTATGCTGTAGTGTTAATCTTGCATACCTCATAAGGTACGAGGGGGTTGCTACCCCCCAGTAAGTATAATCAGCTGTGAGACTTGCCTGGAAATTTTCAACTTCTTTTTTCCTAATTATCCATGATTGAGCTGTGAGCTGCTTAAGAGCTAACTGAAGCTAAGTGTGAGTGAACCACAGCTTGTACGAAGGTCTTGAGTTGATTCTTGTCTCTGTCTCTGCTCTGTAGGTGCGGAGAAGGGGTCCGTCTTTAATGACATCTGCTTCACCTAAGCGTCTCAAAACAGATGATAGTACTTCAGAATCGAAGCAAAGCATCTTCCGTTACTTGGAAAGCTAACACTACGAGGGCGCCAGCACCTCTGTTGGGACTCCATTGAGAAGTATCTGGCACTGAAGGCTGGAATTGATGCTCACATGGAATGATCCCCACTTCCTTCACAATCAGTGCATTAAGATTGAGAACAGAGATTCCAGTTCTTTCCACCGTGTGGCTCTGGACATCTCTTTCCTAGTATTACTTCCTGGGTTGACCACTAACAATTCTGTAGTGTTTACAACAGCCACTTACGGGATACCTGGGTGTCCTCCATTAAATATTTGACGTTTTACCCTAGCAACTTCCTGGATTGATGCCTTTTGGTGAAAGGGGTAGTTGGAGGAAGAAAAAAATGTGACAGGACAGAAAATTACAGAAAGCAGTGAATATTGAAACTGAGATGACGCCTTCACACCCCTACAATGTGCAGGATGTGACCAGGACTCAGTGAAAGAGAGACTTCTTAGAGGGCCTAAGAATCAACAGATGGGCTATTTTATAAGTCACGCCCCTTCCATTTTCCTTCTTGGCTCTTTCCAAGGCAGTCTCAAATTTCCAGTTAACCTTTGCTTCCTTTATAATAAGAACTCAAATAAGGACTGGTACACAAGTCAGAAAGAGCAGATTTTCTGGAGCATGAGGATGAAGATAGAAGGTTACACCCAGTGGCCATCCACATTAGACATTCTGTGGAGCAGAGAGCTCTCTTCTAGGACCTAAATTTTCGATCTGAAACACTTGCTCAAGGACCTTCCTTCTCATTCTGACCGAAGAATTATATATAAAATCATTATTTATTGCATTCAACTGGGTTGAGTACATTGCCCTGACCAGTCAGAGGACAATTTAATAACTTCATTCCATCATGGAGTTTCATCAAAATGTTGTTAAGAGGATTGCCACCAGTCCCAGTTTTCTCCGAACCACCATGAGGCTCTCAGAATTTTAAACAGATATTTGTCCCCCTTCGGAACCAAATGTCACTGCTTCCTTGGAAAAACGTCCCAGGCAAACACTGTGGTTTCACTGTCATGAGCTGGACTTGGGAAGCTGGGTGAGCTGTGCCAGTTTTTTTTTTAACTGGCAGTTGAGGAATACCAGTTTAACTGATGAAATTAGGATATAGGTTTTCTACAATTGTTTCTAATATACAAGATGCTGACTTTGATGGAACTTGCATTTGTATATTTGTAATCTTGTAACGGAGAAAATGTATATAAAGATGTTTTAATATGTATGTAATTTTTCAATAAATCCAGTGCCTTGAAGGCACGATTTGATGTCCAGACTAAGTGCTCATTCTTAGGTCAGATACCTGTCTAATGTTGAGCATTTTGTTTTTAGGGCATCTCTCTCCCGGGGAAGGCCTCTGTCGGCCTGGTGTGAGAGGCTGCTGCTGTTGTCCCCTCAATGTCTTCTCAACTGGTGAATTGATCAGGTTAACTTACCAAGTGGTCTGGGTGTGCAGGGAGGAGAGTTTACATGTATATTACAGCCCTTTGAGTGACAGCTGTGGGTCCAAGGTGATCATCATTGCCCCTCCCATTGAGTGCTCCAAACAGTGCCCAAGGCTTGGGAACCCTTGCTGGGCAACACAGAACTAGGGGCAAGGGCCGGATATTTCTCCCCTCTTCCTTTGCCATACCCTTTTTTGAGGGGGAGAGATGGAGAAGAGGATTTTGGAGTTGACCACTAAGGATAAGAAAATCAGTGCCTGAGAAATCTAAGGAGCAAAGGGTTTCTATTCTAAGCTCCAAAAAGAAAGCATTCTTTGGAGACAGGAAAGTTGAAGCTTAAGTTGTGCGTTACTTTTCTGCATGCTAGTATAGCTGTCGAAAGGCAAGCTAAACTTTGACCCTGGTATGACTGAAGCAGAGAGCGGTGAGCTGACCACACTCCCTCTGCCCAGAGCACTGAGCCAGCAGCTCCAGCTCCCTTCTGATGAAGCCAGCCCAGGGCCTGTGCGGCGGCTGCTGCTAGGGCCCAGCTTCACTAGCTTGGGAATCACATACTGGAGAGATGAGAGCCTGTGAGTCTGGGAGATCGGGGCACTCAGTGTCTTCGTGTTCCACGCACTGGGGTAGGAACACATGGTACTTACTCGATTTAAACAGGTTTCTAATATTAATTCAGTCCACAGCCGCACAAACCATACTTGAGTCTCTTCCATAAAGCATCAGGTTATACTCACCCGAGAGCAGTGGAGATAAGGTGCTCAGAATTTCTTGTGCAAATTCTCAACTGCCTCTCTACAAACTTCACCCTGAATGGCTCAGAGTGGGTGTCTCAGGGTTTTATTTCCCAGAGGTCTATCTAATAATTTTGGGGTCTTCCTCTCCTGAGGTTTGTACACTGAAAAACGGGAAAGTATTTGGGGGAGGAATATTGGGGAGGGAGGAATATTGTGATCTTGATGGCTCAGCTGGTAAATCCATGTACAATGCAGCAGACCTGGGTTCAATCCCTGAGTTGGAAAGATCCCCAGGAGAAAGGAACAGTTACCCACTCCAATATTCTGGCCTGGAGAATTCCATGGACAGTATAGTCCATGGTGTCGCAAGGAGTTGGACACGACTGAGCGACTCTCACTTTATTGTGATAACTCTGATTATAGCATTCCTGAGATGGACTATCTTCTACCTTTCTGTCCTGCTCACTGCCTGGCATGGGGCCTGGAATACGGTATTGCCTAGTAAATGTTGAATGAGAAAGACTACCCCTTTCAGAGCCACCATTTATGTCTGTCAAATGAAAATAGTCATTCATGCCTGTCTCAGAGTTGCTGTGAGGCATGTTGGAAGATGTATGTGAATGTATTATGTCCGGCGCTACTCTTCAAGCATATAGATTTGTCAATAGCACAACTGCATCATGTTTTGTGGACCACTTCTCAAAGGCCTGTGGTCTCATAAGCATCTCAAACTTAACATCTTTAAAAATGTGATCTTCCTTCTCTAAAAACCTGCTCTTCCTCCTGCGTTTTCCATCTCAGTAAAGCAGACCTCCACATACCCAGTCACTCAGGCTGGAAACCTGAAGGACATTCTCGATCCCTCCTTCCTTACTCCCATAATCAAACTATCTATAAGTCCTGTTATTTCTACTTTCACACTACATCTTGAATCACCTCTATAGCCAATGCCCTGATCCAAGATTTCATAATTTCTTACCAGCTGTTGGCAGCAGCCTCCTGATCTCCCCACTCATATTTTTGCCTCCTTTCCATCCAATCTGCACAGTGGCCAAAGGGTAACATTTATATAATTAAATTAGAGGATGCCAGTCCCTCACTCAAAACCTTTCTGTGCCTTCTAATGCATTCAGAATTAAGTTCAAGCTCCCCATGGCCTACAAGACCCTCCATGACATAACCGTGTCTTCCACCCTCCAGTCACATTACACTCAGCTTCAGGGGCTTCCTAAGTATCCTTCCCTTTTCCTGGAATGATCTTCTCTCCACTGTCTTTTTTTTTTTTTTTAAACTTTTTATCTTGCATGGGGGTATAGCCGATGAACAGTGTTGTGATTTCGGGTGAACAGCAAACGGACTCAGATGGCACTAGTGATAAAGAACCTACCTGCCAATGCAGGAGACAAGAGACACTGGTTTGATGCCTGGGTTGGGAAGGAGGACATGGCAACCCACTCCAGTATTCTTGCCTAGAGAGTCCCTATGGACAGAGAAACCTGGTGACTACAGTCCATGGGGTCACAAAGAGCTGGACATGACTTAAGTGACTGAGATGCATGCATGCACAGGGCCTCAGCCAAACATATACATGTATCCATTCTCCCTCAAACTCCCTTCCCATCCAGGCTGCCACATAATTCTTCAGAGATGCTTCCATTACGACCTCTTAATTAGGTTACCTCTGTTTCCTGTTTTCTTTTTTTTTTTTCTTTTGGGTCTTTACAGTTTACCACTTTAATGCTTGTTTGGGTCAGCTTTCCCCATTAGACTATATTCTGTGAAAGCAGAGAACATATCTATTTTGTTCTTAAAAATGTATGTTTCAGGTAGCACCATGCCTAGCACATAGCATTATTAATAAAAATGTATTGAGCAATCAATGATCTGAAGGCTGGAAGAGCTCATGGTGAAGAGCCAGGAGCTGAATGGTTCACAAGGATGCTTTCTAATGTGGGATGGAATAGATAGAGGTGGTTGCTATGTGAGACCTTAAGCCCTTCCCCTGCAGCTTACACGTGGCATGACCCTGGAATAAGTCATTCTGAAATTTTCCTCAGCTGGAAAATGAAGCTAAAGTGAACTGGCTTGGTTTAGCTCCCAGGGTTATGGTTAGGATCACGGGAGATGTGAGATGTGATTAATGTGAGATGAGTGAGCACGTCTAAGAGGCTGTGCCCATGCTGACTGACCCACTGCTGAGGGAGGGGTGGGGCTCATCACGGTCTAGCTGAGTGGGAAGGAGAAGCCAAGTCCTGCCGAAGCCCCGTAGCTGCCAGCCCACGGGCCTAGCCCAGGCCTCGCCCTGCACTGGGCCCCCTGAGAGGGTCGGGCTGGAGGTCTGCTTGTGGGCCTGGAGTCTCAGTGAGCTGGGGAAACAGCGGCAGCTCTGTGTACAGCCGGTGTCACCTCAGGGTCTACCTCTTGAGACCCAGATGCCAGATCTCTGACCCTTGTGGATGTGTCATCTTGGTCTGTACTACCCACGTCCTTCCCATCCCCTCATTCTCTCCGCTCTTCTCTCACCTGAAAGCTTTTTCATTTTCAGTTTATTGATCCAGTTCTTCCCTGGGGTGGGATACATAATGGGAAAAGGGGGTTTGAAGTAGCTTCAGCCTAAGGGTGATTGGAGGAGGCTGTGGGGCTGGACACTGGGGTTCCTTCCCTTCGCTTTAGAAGGAACCATGAGCTGGTATTCTTGATGGCTGGGGGGTAGCGCTGGGGGTGAGGAGGCAGCTCCCAGCTCCTGGCTGGAGAGTCACTGGGCCCAGTCCGAGGGGTGGAGGGTGCTGCAGCCGGACTGGGAGAGTCCTGTAGCTTTTTCAGTCCTCATCTCTTTTTTTCTCAGCGGCTGAAGGAAGGGAAAAAACTGACTGCCCACCCTTCTCTTTGTTTGTCTTGTCTAATTTAACTTATGTTATTTATCAAAAAGACAGGTTATTTGGGAAACCAGATGGACCCAGGCAAAAATCATCTGGGTTTTCCAAACGTGAAAAATTAGGTTCTGGGGGCCCAGGAGGAAAAGCGTATGAGTGTGTGTGTGTGTGTGTCTGTGTGTGTGTGTGTCTGTGTGTGTGTGTGTGTGTGTGTGTTTGGGAGGCGGTGAGGAGTATTGAGAGTACTTTATGTTTCTGCAGTCAGACCCAGAAATTGCTCCATCACATCCAAGCTCTCCTCCTCCCTCTTTTTTCTTCAAGTTCTTTATGATTACAAACTAAATGAGAAAACTGAAATCTCGACGTTGGTGGCTGGGAGTGTGGAAAGGTTTAATTGGCCAAGGATGAGAACATGTCAGAGTCGTAGCAGAACGGCGGCTGACAGCTTTCTCCAGCTCTCCTGCCCTCGCCTCCTCCCACAGATACACTGGGTTAGCCAGAGTTTCAGGTACAGAGAAGTTTCTGGAGCAGAAATCTGGTCTATCTCTTGTCCTTTCAGTGTTAGCATCCCAAAACGATCATAGCAGGGATGGAAGTTAGACATTAGGGGAAGAACTTACCCTTTCATAACTTTCTGACGATGATATGGCCAAAGAACACTGGAGATGGGACTTCCCTGGTGGTCCAGCGGTTAAGACTCAGTGCTCCCAATTCAGGGGGCCCGGGTTCGATTCCTGGTCAGGGAACTAGATCCCAGCTGTCCAAACTAAAAGTGTGCCACAACTAAGACCCAGTGCAGCCAAATAAATAAATATTAAAAAAAAAAAAAAAAAAAGAATCCGCCTTGCAATGCAGGGCATGTGGGTTTCATCCCTGATCAGGGAACTAAGATCTCACACTCTGTGGAGCAGCTGAGGCCATGTGCCAAAACTAGAGAGTCCATGTGCTGCAATGAAATACCCTGCATGATGCAAAGAAGACCCTGCGTGCCACGACTAAGACCCAATGCAGCCAAATAAATAAATATTTTAAAAAATAATAAAGGACATTGGGAGTTGAGGCTTGTCTGTCCATTAAATGTCCAGGGAGGGAACCAGTTCTGTAGATGCAACTAGGAATTTTTAAAGCTTTTCTCTGTAACAAGCAACAGTATAGGGCAGCATTATCAGGAGGGAGCTGAAGTAGGAGGCTCTGGAGGCATGACTCGAGGCTGCAACTGAGG